TTTTAAGCCTAACCTTAAAAAGTAGAGAGGGTCTCTGTCTCCTCAATCCAAACTGGAAGCTAGTTCTACAGAAGCAGAAGAAAGCTCTGCCTCCTATTTTACTTTTAAATAACCTAGGAGCCACAAGTAAGCCAGCATCCCGAGAGCAAAGTGCTCTGTTGGCTAATACAGTACTGTGAGTAACCCAGTGCATGACTGTGCAGATGTAATGACACACCTAAAAAGCAAAAATGCAACCAGTTAACTGCATTTTCATTGTTGTGGTATTTTTTGATTCATTTATTAAACTCAAAATAAAATTGCAAAGTAATGATAGAGACCATAAATGGATAAAAACATATAAAAAGTATGTTTCTGATTTTAAAGTCACCTTGATCATAAATTTACAGTTACTGTGGTTTTCTTTGCACTGCTGTCCTTAGCTGTTGCGAGAGCAGATCCTCTGCCTCCTTTTGGAGGCCTTTAAAATTCTTAGTGTTTTTAGTTATTTTACCATGTAATATTCAGTTGATAGTCATTGTCACACACCTAACTGAAGCTAATTAAAAAAGTTCACAGTTACACATGGCTTAATTGGAAATGCAGAGCAGAAACACAGTTTCCATTCCATTCATAGCTTTGGTCAAATTCCTTTTGGAGGTATTTTAAACTGCCTGTAGTATTGATGCATATAGTTAAATAGCAAAGGATTATAATTACAGAAACAGGCAGCAGTTTTTCTGGATTGTGTTTGGTGTTTTATGGGTTTTTTTGTTATTATTTTAACTTGCATTTGCTGTGATGACGTGTTCTCCTGAGCACACATATTAATTTCCTTTGTAAAATTATTTGTAAAATTTTCTATTTTTAGTAGAGTGCCTCTGAATTTGGTACTGTAGATGATGACATTTCCCTAGGATGTTCCTCTGATGCCAGGTCATGATGCCAGTTATCGTAAGAGTAAAAGATGTTTTTTAAGCATTACAAACTCCCTTTAGCCCTCTCCCTAATTTTTTGAAACATTTTGCTGGCATAAAATTCAAAGCCAGTTTTAATTTTTCACATATTTCTCAATGTAATAATTTAATATGCTCTCTCTGCTCTACTAAAGTAGTGTTGCAGGATTCAGTTCAAAATAATTCTTAATTATGTTATAATTACAACCCTGCAATTTACTGACTGTGTGAAACCAGGTGCTTTAGACTTCTTTTTCTTTCTGATTGGTTGCCTCCATAAATGCAGCTGTCAATAGCAGATGCAGTGGCTTGTGTTCTCACAGCCAGGGCTGTGTTGCTGTGATGACCAGGTTAGGGATATGTGTTTACAAAGACATTGCACAAATATTAAAAAAAAGAAGAAAGAGAAGAAGTCGAAGCTCACAGCAAAGCTCACATGGATAATTGTATACGCTGACAATGCCAGTTAAGTCCAAGTTAAGTCTGGACAGAACTGACGCCCTAACATTAATTCAATTTTATTTTATTTCTATAGCCCCAAATGGCAACAGCAGTTCCTTCAAGGGGCTTTATGTTGGTAAGTTAAAGACCCAACCATTATACAAAGAAAACATAGAAAACCCGAACAATCGTGAGTAAGCACTTTAGTGACAGTGGGAAGGAAAAACTCCCTTTTGACAGGAAGAAACAGCAGAACCAGGTTCAGGGAGGGGTTGGGGTAAGGGGGGGGAAGAAAGGACAAAAGACATGCTGTGAAAGAAACCAATAATTAAATACAGAGAGGTGTACATTAACCAAATATGAGTTGTGATTATGAACTCATTCAATATTGTCTTATTTTAGAATTTGTAGTACTCATTTACCGCTGTGTTTTTGATACTTCTTTGTTTTTACTTACTGTTACACAACATTCATTGTATAAATCTACATAACCGATAAGGCATACAAAATGCAGCACCTACATGTGCTGGCTAGCAGGAATAAAAACAGCAAGGAGTTGGACAAACACATTACAGTTATTTGCAAACCATTGCATTCTGTTTTTATTTACATATTTCACAGCATCCCATGTTTTGGGGACAGTTGTGGTGTATCCATACATATATTAGTCAGAAGCAATTAGCAGACACTTCCTATGAGACCTTATGGCGAGCAATCAGAAGATAAGGATCTCAGATGGCTTCGATTTTTTCACCCAGGTTGTTCTGTAGAGTACATAACTACCCTATTTCCCTCTTGTGGAGAGCCCTTCATCTGAAATGGGAACACTTACCCAAAATGAGCCCCACATCTAAGTACTGTGTACGGATGGGACAGGCCTCTTGACTGAAGAAGTGCTATTAACCAATTTCACATACTAAGAAGTCTCCTTTCTAATTTTGAGTAATTCTTAGTGGAGGAGGTGAGGTTGAGAGCTTCGCTGTAGAGCTACTCAGCCAGAGATCAAAGTGCCAACCCCCAAGTGGATTAACGGCTGCTCCCGGGGTGATCACACCTCACACACTCAGGTATACGCACAGCGACCCTCGATGTGAAGTGGATTTCTTGTTCTTTTTTTAAAAAGGATTACCCCAACACACATATGCACGCGCCCTCACACACCAAAGGCAAATAAAAATAGGGATGAGACCACCTCCGCGGTTCAGATTTTCTCAACCTTGACAAAGTGAGGCTGGTTTTAGTTAAAAGCAAAGGAGGGAGGTGTGAGGAGGAAATAAAATGTGAGGCATATATCATCCCTAATGTGGTGATATGTTATACAGCAGTATTTTGTAATGGCATGTATTCATAGTGTCAATGGCTCTGTTAAAGTGACAGGAGTTATCCTGTTAAATTATAGCTCTAATCCCTGCCATCAGTAAAGCTTCACTCTAATATCACTAATGGCCAATATGGTAATTGTACCACATTAAAGGACTCAGATGATGTCTTTGGGAAAATTTATGACAATGTTTTGGTTTATGAGTTCTTACACATTCTTGTCCAACTTTAGTAATTTCCATAATTGTGTTTGACACACTTTGGCTTAATGTGATGCATTAAAGAGTGGCACAAACAGATTCTGTGTATCTATTAAAACGCTTAACTGCTTGTTTCTAGATATGCTACTGCCACTGTAAGCTCAGCATTCACACATAAAAGCTGGATCAGGTGAATAATTTATGATTCTCGTTCCTCTCTGTGAGAGCATTACACAGTCTGAGTCTGATATAAAAAAAAGAAAGAAAAAATATGTTCTATTGCTGCAGTAAACTACAAGGCAGGCCTTAATTGTGCACTGCTGAAATTTGAATGTGGAGCTGCATAAGCTGGTGGTGCCTCTGCAGTAGTTCTATGCACTGATCCACCAGTGTTTCCCCCAGCACAGGCAGAAGCCAGCGAAGTTATCTTACACATGACAGCTTCAGTCTGCTGTGGGATGGCTGAATAATTCAAAGTTCTTACACAGGACCATCTGGCAGGCCAAAGACACCAGCCTTCCTCAAATAGCTTTTGTAAAGCTTGTGTTGGGTGAACCAGCAGGACCGCTGCACGAGCAGACTGAGCTGCTTACCAGCAAAAAGAAATATGCTGCGTCAGACTGATGGCTAATTTGTGAGCATATAGGCAATCAAGGCAATTAAGATCAAATATTGTTGATAGGACATAAAGCCCATTTTCACTTTGCCCTCAGGCTGTGCATCAGCTGAGATGTCAAATATATCTCAATTTCTCACACCCTGCAGAGTTTGCAGAATATCGGGAATAAAGATATCATTTTGAACAACAGACACATTTGCACTAGCCCACAGTGTGGGCTACACTGCTGCATAAAAATCTACGCAACAGATGTGTGCATACAAAGTGCAGCACCTGCATGTGCTGGGTATAGGAATGAGCACCTTCCAACAAAAAAGGTACCCAAAATTTTGTCCTATAAGTTGCTTGAAGAAGCCTATTATGAAGTAAGGTAGGAATATATATACTTCAGTCAATTGCAAGCCAGTACCATGCATAGCTAATATAGTTTTAAGATTTTAGAAATAGCAACTTAGAAGTGGCTGTGGCTCAGATGGGATAGGGAGGGGTCTACTAATCGGAAGGTTAGATTTTGATCCCTGGCCCGTTCAGTCCTTATGTGTAAGTATCCTTGTGTAAGATGCTGAACTTCAATTTTCACCCAGTACACTAACTGGCAGTGTGTGTGAATGTGCATGAATGTTAGATAAATTGTTTATGCATAATGTAAAAGCACAATGCAATGAGTTTATGAATGATTGAATGAGGCCTCTAGGCTTTGAATTCTCAGTTAGAATAGAAAATCATCATATAATACCGTTTACCAACCTAAACGTAACACGAGCTTAAAGGTTATAGAGTAACAATGAGTTTTCAAGCAGGACCTTTTTGTCTACATTCACTATCTATTCATGCTGTAAGATCACAGCCAGTTATTTAAGTTACAATTCTCTTACCGGTTTATCAACATTTAAGGTAGTATTACATTTAGCAACAGTTCACAAGTAATTTAGGGTCACATAAAACAAGCCTATGTGAGTCACAAAAATTTATAAAAGAAAAAGGTTTAAAAAAAAAAAGTAAAAATAATGATTAAAAGCAACAACAAAACGGATATATGTAATAGACAGTCTCTTCCTTTATGCCCTTTAGTTAAATGTCTTGTCAGCATGAGATAGACAGACAGCCTATCATGTTATCTTGGCAGGAAAAAGTTATTTACCCCTAACGCGTAACGCCATACTCTTTAAATTTGCTTCAAGTTGCTCCAAATTTGGTTTTACCCTAAGATTTTTTCCCCATTATCATATCATATCATTTTTAAAACAACACATAAAATAAATAGAATATAATTAGAATATGTAATCTTTCTATCTAACAGATGGACGCAGGAAAAATAATCCCTTCGTGCTCTCGGAATCACTTCTGCGCCTTTAGAAACTTTTGTGACGTCCTTGCATCCAGCATCGTTGCGCATCCGCCCTCCCTCGCCCTCCTCCTTTTTCAGAAATACGCCCCGGCTCCGTCCGTGCCGCCTCCACCAGTCAGCAGCGGTACGGGGTGAGCTCCACGCGTCTCCGCGGCGGAATTTCTAGTGAAGGGCACCGCGATGAACGTGGACTTCAGAAAAGGCTTCAACTAACAGGGATCCGCGTAAAACGAGAGGAGAGCTGACGCTGTGCTCACCGGCGGGCGCAGGCTGAGAGTTCCGTTCTGCGTGTTTTTATGATTATTATTTTTAATCTCGCACCTGCTCACGCGCGCTGAGCGGAACATCCCGAGTCGGAGCCAACTTGCACTACCGCACTTGCCGGTAGTTGTCCCATAAGGAGCCGAACCTGCGAGCTTACGGGGGATGCTGAGAGGGTTTCTGATCTCCGTTACTGCTCCTGCTGAGCGCCGGGCTGGAAGGGTAGCTGGCGTGTCCTGGGGAGGATGCTGAACAGGTAAACACAAGCTAAGGAAAAAAAAAACGTTCTTATATTAACACTTTGCCCGTTATTTATCCTCAGCCTTGCTGGAGCTGTAGGAGGTGGAGAGGGTTAGTCCAGATTAGCTCTTCTTCTGCCTCTCGACCTTCCTGAACTTGTTTGCTTGTATCTGTGCACATTCACTCTCATCGCAGGTGATTTATTATTGTCTCAGGCGGCAGGTGCTATTTTCATTGCTGCTGCTTGTCATCATTACTCTACATTTACCATCTTATAGGGCTTTTGTTAGTAGCTAAGTGCTTAAAGCTCTGTGGCAGTTTGTGAGAATGAAGATGAAAGGTAGAGTGTGGAGCAGCCAGTGACATTAGGTTAAGGGCTTAGGTTTGATGTCAACAGGAAAATACTGCTGCCTGTGGAAGCTCTTCAGTATCCTTGCTTGTCTTGGCTCAGCCAACTGTATTACAGGCTTGAACATCCATTGCTTGCAGTGTTGGACTTCACACCATTCAGCAGCTCTGAGACTGGAAATGGAAAAAGTCATTTACATAGCACTTCACTAAAATTACAGTACAAGCCCAATTCTCCTATATAAAGCACTTAATTCTATGCATTTTAAGCATGTCATCTCACACTGACAGTTTACCTAACATGCATGTCTTTTATTCATAATGTTATGAATAAAAAAAAAAGAAATTAGGAAGTACCAGCAATATCTGTTGTTGCTGTGGTTTTTCTCACAAATTAAGTTGTTTTGTAACTTGTACCGGTACAAGTCGATATGTTAGCTTTGCAGATCTGAGTGCCGTGGTTAAATGAATCACCTTGATTCATTTAAGGAATGATTTGAGGAAGACAAATCATTTTTCTAGGCTATGCTTTAATATTACTGTCATAACTTTGTGTTTGTTTGTTCCATTTTGTTTAAGAAACAAGATTATAAATTTACTGAATTGGTATTTATTAGTAGGGCTGGGCAATATGACCTCAGATCAAATCACCATTAATACATATACATAGAGCGTTCTTGCGCTCATAGTTCACTAGGTTTTTACTGAAGCTGAGATATTTTTTCCTGTAATATGATTGAGCTCCAAATTTAACATATTGGTATCACAAAACATTTATTTATTTATTTATTTATTTTTACAGTTGTTGGTTGTCTTTGTTTGATGTTGTCTTTACTAAAGTCAAACAATGGACGTTGTTTTTTTATTTGGTACAAAGTACGCAAGTTGGGCAATCGGCTTGGTGTTTGACTTTTCCTCCTTGGTGTTTCTAGTCACAGATTAGATAAGGCAGTCCTGTTACAACACACACAGTAGTATGTATAATAATGGGGGAAGTATTAATTTAATTGAAAAGGTTCTGAATGTCAGTTTTTATTCAGTTTTGATTAATTGTCTGTCCCATTCTTCAAACTAGCATCAGTTGCTAAAGTTAACAAAAGACAAGGTAACAAGTGAAGGGAAACATTCACAGGGATATGATTCTAACCCTTTAAATGGAATATATTTTTTATGACATTGTGAATACTATTATGTGCTTGCTGACGGGTACACGGGAAGTCTTTAAGCAATAACACTATTAGTTAAGCAAAATTGATCCAACCACACTATCAGAGTATGTACAAAGCGAAATGTAGAGAAATTCTTGTCATGTGTTCCACTCAGTTTCAAAGAATTTTGGTCTGTTTCAGTTCAGAATGAATAACTGAATCGACACTGTCTGTTGTGATACATGGCTACCATTTATGCAGTCCTGCTGTTGGTCAACAGCGATCTTATAATCAGTGTGTATTAGTAATGTTTATAGAAATCATTGGTAATGTTTTCACAGTACTGTAGCATGTGGGTGCAGGAATAATTTGTCTGATCCGTCAAACTGTCGAAATACGTAAAAAGTGCTCTGTTGTGTTTGTTTCCTCTGAGGACTTTTTCTTCATTATGCCCATTAAGAAGAGAGAGCAAATTATGCAGTCACAGTGCAAATATATTGTTTTGCACTCCCCAATTTTAATCTGCCGATTATAAGTGAAAATATTCTGGCTATGCAGGATCCCACCCAAAAAAACAAAACAAAAAAACCCCAAAAAACAAAACAGACCAATAAATAAGTTATCTGTCATTCTCTATGACTTAAAAACTGGGTTTGCTTGTAAATTGCAGTAGTACCACTAATAACAAGACCATATATTTCTAGTTTTAACTCAGTAAAGGCTGACGAAATGCATTAATTAACTGTTGTAGCTTTTGTCTAAATTCTAAAAAAAAAAGGCAGTGCCAATGAGCTGCATGAATCAAATGCTGTTATGACTGCACAAAGATTACTTTTTTTCTTGAATGTTATTCTTTTCTTCCATCATTATACAGTATAACATATCAATAGATCCACACCTCAATGTACACTCATATGCAGCTGAAATAGAAAGTACATTTTAAATGATAAGTTTGTAATATTTCCACCTTTATATAAGACTTGGATGTAGGCAGCATGATGTCATCCACTGGACATATAAGTAATTTTGTGAAGCCTCAAGCTGAGTGTTTTCGTCCTAGCCATCTTGGCTTTTTTCATACCAGGTGTTAAGAGCGCAGTGCGAAGCTGGCTGAGACATCCAACAATGTTGCATGCTCATTGGATAACAAGTATAGTATAGTATTGTTTTATCCTTGTTTTCAGATTCAGTAAATTAATCTTTTTTCTTAACTGGTTATCCACTTCAGGTTCATGAAGGGGCGTATTATATCCCAGCTTTCATAGGGTAAAAGGTAGAGTACACTCTGGACAGGTTACCAGTCCATTATAACTCTTAACACAGTGAGAGACATGGCCAATTTAGAACCATCAATTAGCCTAACAAGCAAAGGAAATCAAACAAAGTAAAATATTGTCAAATAGAAATAGAGAATTTAAAAGGGCTTTCTAAATGTATTTCAAGAATTTTAACAAGGTCTTAGACCAAGAAAACTGAGGGGTTATTTTCTTAGGCATCTATATAACCAGGAGTAACCACAGGAGGTACCCCTGCTGGCCATGAAAGAAGCACAGGTGTAAGGCTCTACGGCATAGAGTTCATTAAACAATTTCTGATTTAATTACTTAAAATGATTGCCATTAAAATCCCTCAAACATGTTGTCAATTACATTGAATGGCATTGAACAACTGGTTCTCATACTGTAACTGGTTCTTTTAACTTGATTTAAAATTGTAAAGTAAAAAGTCTGTAAAATACTAAATGCTAAACTTCCTCCTGGATTTGATCTCAGTGTCCACACTGGGTAATGTCAAACACTGTATTGGTTTAATGACTTGCATAGTCTGTATTTACTGCAACCTACAATTTCTGTTTCACCTTAAAATGACACCCATATATCATATTCTTGAGCATGGATCTCATCAGTGGGTAACTGTAGATGTGTTCCCGAAGGTCTGATTTGAGTTATCAGAGGTCATGATGGCACAAAGCTAGCAGCAGCCAGGACAGCATATTGCTCTATTCATCTTAATAACTCCTGTGGGCAGGGTGGCCGCGAAAGTTGAGGAAGGGCCTGAAAACTCTCTCCTGTGACCTTCTGAGAGAAACAAATGGAGCAGCACATGGCTGTCGATCCAGTTGAGCTGCCAACTGCAGTAAAACTGTGAAAAGAAAAGCGAAAAAGAGAGAATTAGTCTATCGGTCTGATTTTACAGAACCTTCTACACTACATTGGTTTGACCTCTTACTCAACCACACATTATATTTCGCTCACGTTTGTCTTTGTAGAAGCACTAATTGAATTCATCCAATATTAAGGAAAGGACCCACATACTATACCAACTTGACCTTGGCTAAGAGTTGCTAACAACTTGCGTCAAAGTGAGGCCTGCTGTGTCATCACTCCACATTCATGATGGTCAATCTCCTATTTCTAATTTAGAAAATATGTTTGGGTTACTGCAACATGGATTAATTTCTTGCTTACTAAGCAATTATGGTGGCAGACACAAAGAGAGAAGAGGAGGGTAACTATAGGATTGAAACCTGAGGATGGTGCAGAAATTTGTCAGCCCTCTGCACTGACACCATTATCCAAGACAACTTCTCACGGATGGTGATATATGACTAAGGTGACCATAATCATTATTCACAGAACAGTCTTCTTCTTCTTTTCCCTGGCATCCCTTCATCCCGGGTCTGATCAACTGTGTTCCATTATGCTGCTGTAATGATTTGTGGAGGTCTGTGTTGCTGTAGCATTTGAAGGACGGTGTGTTGCAGAGCTTTCCAAAACAATATCATAACCCATATCCATTAGCCATATGGGTTCCATTCCCCAGATTTGCTTGATGCAATTTAGGTGTCCTCGCACAGTAGACCCATGTGACACGCCTAGGATTCAATTAATTAGACGGTATTGTTTTCTTTTTCTAGCTTTTATACCCTACTTTAAATGGTGGTTTCCACTTTGTATGTCCTATGGAAAAAGCTGATGATTTTCTTTGAGATTACTTTATTCATTAAACATTTAATCAGTGAATTTAGCAAAAACAAGGCTACCACAGTTTATTAAATTACTACTTCTTTTTCTGTATTGATTGTAATGGTCAAAAACTCCATCAATATGGCGTATGGGATATGCTGCATCATATCTTGACAAATACATGACAAATTGAAATAAGAAAAGTGGACATTGTTTTAAAATTCTCTATTAGATATTACAAACTAATCCCAATGTAGATTTTCTTTTAGATCCAGGGACTCATTTTATGTATGCTGTTTAAAGCACTGATGGAGGTTTGCAGTATTGGACTATTCTTGTACTTGGACATGAACCTCAACCACATAATTACAACATCAGCTAAGGTCCTGCAGTAATTGCTTTTTTTCTTGCTCTCTTTCAGGGGAGTGATTTGCTGATACGTCATATACTGCAGAATGAAATGGCATTTTATCAAATTACCACAACAGGTAAATTTTTGCCAGGGACACACAGACACATTATTCTTCCTCTTTCTGCAGTGTATAAAGAGAAAACTCCAATACTGAAAAAATAACAATATTAAATTGTAGTTTACCTTAGAAACCTACTGCTTTCTGATTATAAACCACTAATAAAGGCTGCATTTCATGGGTGGACTTTAGCATGGGTAGTGTTAAGCTTGAACAGTTCTAAATTTTCAAAGAAATTTTGAAACACAAGCTCTGTGTTCCTCCAACACACGCCCTAGTTTTCCATTAGAATAGTAGAATGTTCCTATAAATTTTGCATCATTAGCAAACAACAGTGTGGGAAAAAAACAATATTTGTCTTCATAAAATGTTATAAAAATATTTTGTCTCTATGGTTTACGTTGCAGTGAGTCTTGGTAGTTACATCAAATGATTGAAATGGACTTAATAGGTATCTCTCTACACTACAGGAAGAAAAAAATGTTTTCTGTTCATCCTTTTTAATTTCAGTGTAATGTAACTGATGAGGAAAACATCCCAGACACTGTGCCTTCCTTCTCTCACCACGACCGGTCGTGGCAGATGGCCGCCAACCCTGAGCCTGGTTCTGTCAGAGCTTTCTTCCTGTTAAAAGGACGTTTATCCTTTTCTCTGTCACCAAAGTACTTGCTCATGGGGGGGTCATATGATTTTTGTGTTTTTCTCTGTATGTATTTTTGTAGGGTCTACCTTACAATATAAAGCGCCTCGAAGCAACTGTTGATGTGTTTTGGTGCTGTATAAATAAAATTTATTCAGAATGTCCATGAAAATGGAACACGATCACAGGTGGTGAACATGGGTCAGAATTATTGCTGACTTTTCCAACAAATTGTCCTTTAGGACAAATGAAAGTAAGGAGATTTGTTATGAAGAGCTCCCATTTCTGTTATCAATTGTTTGAACTAAGCTTGTGGTTCAAACTGATTGGTATTACATGAGAACAAGCAAGCCAAACAGTGCTTGCCATGGTCTTAGCCAGGCAGTGCTTGCCTCATCAAATTTAAATAGATACATAAATTAAAACATACAAACAACCATAAATTCAAACACAGTGCTGTCATAAAGCTCCTCGCCTATTTGCATTCATCCCATGCATTACTTCTATCTTGTGTCTTTGGCTGCAGTTGACTATTATACTGAAAGCCCTGCTTGTTTCGTACTCTTGAAAATTGCAGAAAGCAGGTGTGTCTGTCTCCTGAGCTGAGTTGAGAGTGCAGCAGCTTTTTTTTTTTGGTTTGCTCATGCACATTGTGGATAAACCTCTGGTCTTTCACAGGAAACTGATGACCAGTGTGTGTGGCAAACTGCTGCAGGCCCTACTTTCATTGCTCTGAGATCAGTTGCAATCTGTGCTTTGTGTGAAAACACAGCTAGCATAAGCAAGTAAATCAGTATCAGTGATTTATCATTGTAACAGATGAGTTTCCTCTTACTACCTAACAACTTAACTACCTTGGCCAATGTGTGATGGAGTGTGAAAAAGTTGTTGAAAAGGTCTAATGATGATGGAGAGGGACAGCACCTCTGACCATCTCCAGTGTAATAAAACAAAAGCAAACTGACCATGTGCAGGCTCAGCAGCACTCTCAGATTAGCGTCTTTGAAAAAGCACTTGGTTGACTGAATGTAACAAATTTAACCAGCTGTCTGTGAACACTGCACCTTCATTTTTCATTAATATTTTTTTTCAATATTTTGGATATTGATAGTTAATGATGTGACACACAGCTCAAGCCTTTTAATTCAATTTTTTTTTAATTATTATATTTTAATACACTTAAAAAAAAATCAAGATGTAGACCTGCAACTGTTTTTACTTTTGATACCTTATGTCTCGAAAGCCAGGGATTGAACTCAGAATCAGAATCAGAATACTTTATTGATCCCCAGGGGAAATTAAGTTGGTTTCAGTGCTCCAGTACAAACAGTAACAAAAACAGACAATACAAGAAGTAAGAAATAACACAATATATAGAATATATACATATATATAAGTCAGTTACTGATGAATATCTGGATAAGAAAGAAGAGCACGTGCAAAAATTGTGTAGCTATAGCAGTATACAGTGTGTTAGGTGGATGAGTTGTACAGGGAGATGGCCCCAGGCAAGGATGATTTCCTGTGTCGTTCAGGTGCGTTTTGGTAATCTCAGTCTCTCACTGGACCTGCTCCTGTGGCTAGCCAGCATGTCATGGAGTGGGTGGGAGGAATTATCCAACATTACTGCCAGAGTTTGCGCCCTTGACCATCATCTGACACACTGAATGTTGTAGGGCTGTCTCGGCTGACATGCCTCTGCAATGTAACTTGGAGATCTGCAGTAGTGCCAGTAGTGGCTGACTAGGGTGGTGGTTCTCATCTTTAAGAAGAGGAACTGGACAGTGTGTGCTCCAGCACCAGGGGTCACGCTACTTCGGCTTCCTGAGAAGGTCTATGTCAGGGTATTGGAAAGTACAGTTCATCCATTAGTCTAACCTTGGTTTCAAGAGGAACAACATGGTTTTTGTCCTGGTCACAGAATGCTAGACCAGGTCTTTATCTTTTCAAGAGTATGTGAGTGTGTGTCAGAGTTTGCCCAACCAGTCTACATGCATTTTGTGGAACTGAAGAAGTCATTGAACCACATCCTTCAAGATATCCTGTGGAACCCTGTGGGTGACCCAGGACACCCCTGGAGAGATTATATTTCTTGTCTGTCCTGGGAATTCTTCTGTGTTCCCCAAGATGAGCTGGAGGACGTGGTTGGGAAGAAGGAAATCTGAGGTTCTCTGCTTAGGCTGTTTAGGCTGCATTCCTTCCAGACGATAATGCCCCTGATAAGAGAAACAAATGGATACTTTATGGATGGATACTCTATAACAATTTGTTTGAGGTATAGCGAGGAATTTTCATGGTTTTTGATTGCATTTCTTCCGAAATTAATGGTTTGAAAAACTCTTCCATCACTTGTCATTGTCAGCGCACAGTAAAAAAATGTTTGGTTATATATTTTATAATTATTTTATTCTAGAATTCTTCAGCCAGGAGTGCCTAAGTGCCTAAAAGTGAAGACATCCATCTGAAGTGCAGATAGTCAGCGAAAAGGTATTTTTTAATGTGATCCAAGATGTTTTTGTTTCTGTGTTTCTGGTGGTGGGTGGGCAATCATCTCTGTTTGCATTTCACTGCATGCCTCTGTTCAAACTGATGTTTTCAGTTCAAACATATTCAGTGACATCAGAAACTACCACTGACTGCTATAAGATAGTCATCCCTTATTTTTTTTTAATCGCTTTTCTGTTCACATTCAAAGACATGGCTGTATCTGTAAACAGAGTTACAGAATATTTGCTGGTTTCTGTACAGCTGCATCTGACATGTCTGTTTTCATCCAAGTAGCTGCACCAGTCTTAGCTCGAGAACACTGAACACAAATTGTTGAACTGACATACCAGATTGTCTAGTTCCTCCATTGTCCATTGTCCATTATCTAGAGCCATGTAGTGCTATTCTCAGAGACAGCAGATAGTTTACTACCTAACTACCATCTAATATGTCCCTTCTTCATTGTTTCTCAACAAGAACTCCAACCGTAGTTGAATCCTAACCATATGTTTTAGAGACAAGCTGAAGATGATGCATTTTGTTTAGAAATATTTTTTTCTTGATTGCCAAGACTTTTAAAAGTGATTGAAAAAAATATAGGGATAGTGTTGGGAATAGGGTTATCCCCAGTAATTACTTAGAAAGTAAATTACATTTATTTTAAGCCTCTGAAGCGTAAAAGCATTTAGTCTCCTTATGAAAATTCTAGGCATAGCTTTTGATTTTAGTCATCACTTGCTGAGAACACAGTTTCAGGTCTTTTCTCTTAGTTCTTACCAGAAGTATTATTTCACTTCAATGTCTTCTTATTAACAGCAAAACTGTAACGCTTTTCAGAGTTTGTATGCTTTGAGCTGTTAACAATAGCAACATGGGAGACTTGCAAGGTGAAATAGCCAGGGTTAATTTTAAGAATGAGTTAAGAAAAATTGAAGAAATGATTATATAAAGCTAATTTTTAAGAATGCCAGAACAATAGGAAATGATAGTATCAGAAGGCTTGTAATGTGTATGATTTGTTTATTTTTCATTTTATCTGAGTCACTAGATTCAATTACTGCTGTGCTTGCATTTTAAAACTGTTAATTTGAAGTTGCGCTGGTGTTTTGCATGGATAGTTATTTATTACCACTGCTGTGTTTGCAGTCTAATTGGCTTCTGAACACATAAATAACGACAGCAGTGAGAACTTCCATCCAACTTGTTCTTGCTCCATTTCAGTCTCTTTCTCTCGGACTGACCTCTGCAGCATAGCAGCTATAGCCCAACAAAGCACATTAAGTTTGACACATAGAACAAACAAACCTGTAGTCAAGGTGGACCACAGATGTTATTTCCAGGTATCTGAAAATACGTTATATCCCATCTAGCAGTGAAGATTGTGTAAAGGCCTGTGTTGCTCACTGGAATGAGGACGAGCGGTTAAATTCCCTTAAGGGGTCACTTGTGCGTAAAATGTAATCATGTTCAACTGGCTCTTTTCACTTTGTGCTCATGTTAGCTATAGACCATATGACTGAAAGTGCCAGTCATATGGTCTAAGTTGTTCTTGTAAAAGTGGCACATCAGCACCCATCCCAAGCCAGTTTCAGTAAATAAAATAAAATAAAATAAAATGCAGAGCTTTAACATCAGATTGCTTAAAATGATTTTGGCTGATAAAGACTGGTCAAACACATATTTCAATGTGGATTAAACACAAATGTTTGCTTATTTTGTAACTGCTACGTAAATTATAGAACTGCACATCATTCACCTATAAGCATCTGTAGAAATTAAATGAGTATGAATACAAATAAGAATTTTGATAACATAACTAAAAGAAACAATAAATATTAAACTATTGTCTTGGTCAAAATCCTGTAAGTGAACCCTCTGTTTAATTTTCTTT